GGCGTGGCAAAGCCCCCTCCCCAAAGAGACCCCCGCTTCTCCCCCAGGAGCCGCCATCCCCGGGCAGCCTCCTGCAACCTCTCCTCTCTTCCGCCCCCCGCAGCCACCCGCCCGCCTCCTGCCCTGCGACGCCTCCAGCGCCTCCCCAGCCACCTGCTCCTGCCTCTTCTGCCAGCGGCAGCGGCCCCGCGGCCAGCTCGTCTCCGGCCACGAAGGGCCGGACCTGTCCGCGGAGCAAGTGGCCGCCCGGCTGCAGGCCGAGAACCGGGTGCCGCGCATCGTGGAGGCCTTCGAGAGACGCTCCCTGCGGGAAGCCAAGAGGGCCGAGCGGGAGAAGAAGGCGCTCCAGGACGCCCTGCAGCCGCAGCAGCCGCAACCGCAGCCGCAGCCCCCGCAGCCGCAGCCGGAGAGGAAGCGCCGGGCGCCCCCCGCTCACCGGGAGCCCAAGGGGGGCGGCCCGGCCGGTGGGACCCCGAAAGCCTCTGCGGAGAAGAAGCCGGAGGAGCCTCCCGGGCGCAGGAAGGAGCAACCGGGCTTTCTGGACAGGCTGCGCAGGCGGAGCTAGTGCGCGGGGCGAAGGGAGCCACAGCCGAGCGCAGGAGAGCCGGGGCCTCGACGACGCCAGCGGGAAGCTGCCCGCAACCGAGCAGGGCACGTCGGGCCTTTGGAAGGGGCGGAGGGGCAGCAGGACGGCATCCAGCACCGCCCCGCCCCCCCGCCCGCCTTTACCTGCCCTGCCAGCTTTGATGGGCAATGTTGGGGGGTGGTCGCAGCAGGCTACGGGGCGTTGGCAGAGGACGGAGGGAGCCCCACACGGGGGGGGGCTGCCTTGGGGACGAGGGGCAGGGGGCAGCAGCCGGAAGCAGAAGCCCCCCTCCCCACCGGTCTGCTTCTGAGCAGAAGGGGGGTGGCACAAGGGGGATGTCCGGGTGGGGGGGGTTGGCAGGGTGGGGCCCTGGCCCAGCTCTGCCGAATGGATCTTCTCAAGGCAAAAAGTAATTTGGCTTCAGGGGAGTCTGAAGAATAAATCTTGGTTATGATCCAGCCTGTGAATTGCTTGGTGCTTGCTCTCAGCAAATCCCACAGTAGCACTGATGGCGTTACCTAGCTGGGTCGTGAAACGTCTGCAAGGAGACATGCAAGCTCAGAGAGCACCTGGGACCCCACAGTCCTCCTCCTCTTCCTCCGCAAACCCCACTCCCTTCCAGCACTGATGATGCCACCTAGTTGGATCAGCAACAAGGACCCCACAGTCCTCCTCCTCCTCCTCCCCTGAAAACCCACTCCCTTCTACCACTGATGATGATACCTAGCTGGGTCGTGAAACATCTGCAAGAAAACAACGAAGCATCAAGAGCCCCATAGTCTTCGTCTTCCTCCCCCTCCTCCTCCCACTCCTGCAAACTGCCCACCCCTTCCAGTTCCCTGATGACGTTCCCTCCTTGGGTCCTGAAACGCCTGCAAGAGAACCGCCCAGCTCAGAGACCCCCAAGGACCCCCCCATTTCATCCCTGAGCTACAAATATTCCCCTTGATTGATGTTTCCTGAGTCTTCCAGGGGGTCTCACAGGGTCGTCTCTGGTTCTGGGAAGGGGAACATTTCATTCATTTCATTTTCATTTATTATATTTATATGCCGCCCTTCCCCCCCCCGAAGGGGACTCAGGTTGGCTAACAAATCAAATCAGGGAAGGGGGGGCGGGTACAGACAAAAAATAAAAAGACGAAACATAACAATACATAATTTAAAAACACACAACAGTCATACCATTCGAGGAGGGGGGCAAAAGCTCTTTAGCCCCAGGCCTGTCGGAACAGCCAGCTTTTAAGGGCTTTTCGGAAGGCCTGGAGGGTGGTGAGGGTTCAAATCTCCACGGGGAGCTCCAGAGGGTCGGAGCAGCCACAGAGAAGGCTCTCCTCCGGCTAATCGCCAGTCGACACTGGCCGGCGGATGGGATTCGGAGGAGGCCTAATCTGTGGGATCTAATCGGTCTAGTGGAGGTGATTGGCAGCAGGCGGTCTCTCAAGTACCCAGGTCCAACACACAACAAGGCTCCCCAACCCCTGAGCTGCGCCCCACTGCCAAGCCCTGGCCCCTTCAGAACCGGGTGGCAGAAGCAGCGGGCAAGCATGGGCACGTCTGCATGGCTCCCCTTGCACACACAGCGGGCAGGGGAGGGCACAAGGGCACAACTCCATTTGTGTGTGCGGAGCCTTCCCCCCTCCTCCCCTTCCCCCTGCCGGTCGGGAAAGCCAGAAAGGTTGGTGACCGCTGACCTGAAACCCTCCTGGACTCTCTGCCGTGATGTGGGTAGAACAGGTTGATTTTCTGACCCTTTCTTGCACCGGTCATTAAGAGAGCACCTCTGTCATAAAACGAACACGCAGAGCCCCTTCTGGCGCACTTTTGCAGAAAACCAGCAGTAAAACCCTTATACAGGTAGTCCTCCACTTACAACGGTTCATTTAGGGACCGTTTGAAGTTACAACGGCACTGAAAAACTTCATTTATGACCAGTTTTCACACTTACGACCGTCGCAGCACCCCCGGGGTCCCGTGATCAAAATCCAGACAGTTGGCGACTGATTCGTATTTATGACGATTGCAGTGTTCTGGGGTCACGTGATCCCCTTTTGTGACCGCCTGACCAGCAGTGTCCATTGGAAATCCAGATTCACTTAAAAACCGTGTGACTCGCTTAACAACTGTGGCAAGAAAGGTCGCAAAATGGGGCAAAAACTCACTTAACACTGTCAGCAACATGACTTTGAGCTCAGCTGTGGTCGTAAGTCGAAGACCACCTACATCTACTTTACAAAACGTAGTAGAAGCATAGTAGTTTTTGATGCGTTGCCCGAAGCCGTAAACGAGGGCTACAGGTAGTCCTCGACTTACGACCACAATTGAGTCCAAAACATCTGCTGCTAAGCAAGACGGTTGCTGTGGGTTTTGATCTTCCTTGCCACGGTTGTTAAGTGAATCTAAGCTTCCCTCATTGACTTTGCTGGTCAGAAGGTCGCAAAAAGCGACCAGGCGACCTCAGGAGACATGAACTAGTTGACAAGCGCCTGAATTTTGATCCTGTCACCGGGGGGGGATTCTGCGACGGTCGTAAGTGTGAGAAATGGTCATAAGTCATCTCTGTGCCGTTGTCATTGCAAACGGTCACTAAATGGATCAGGAGCAGCCTGTAACTCACACTAAGACGAGGGTGTTGTGAGCCAGGAGCTCTGGGGGCACATTGTGGGACTCAGAAGATGAAAAGCGTCCGGAGGAGCCTACTCCCGCTGCTCCCTCTGCAGCCTTGCCAGGGATTGGCCCAGTGGCCCACATCTGGAAGGCCCAGGGGAGAGGCTGCAGCCCAGAGGTTGCCAGATGAAGCCCAGGTGAAGCAGAGGCCTGTGGCATGGCCGGGGAAGCAAATCAGGGAAACTCAGCCGGGACGCCCCCTCTGCCTCCCTCTGGCGCCTCCCTTGGCCTGCCAGGCCCCGGGGGTAGAAGATGCCAGCTGGAAGGGAGGGAGATGCCCCTCTCTTCCTTGTGGCCTCCCACTGGCACTGGGTGGGGGGGGAAGGGATTCCCGTCCCAGGGACCCCTGCAGGGGGGCCGACTTGGCTTTGAAGCAGGGGTGAAATCCAGCAGGGTCTGGGAAACTGGCAGCGGAAATTTTGAGTAGTTGGGAGAACCGGCAAGTTCCACCTCTGGCTGCCCCAGGAGAGGGGAGGGGGTCGGGATTTTGCAGAATCCTTCCCCTGCCACGCCCACCCAGCCACGCCCACAGAACCGGTGGTAAAAAAAAAATTGAATTTCACCCCTGGTGTGAAGCCTCTTCCGTGTGGACGGAACTTTGGCCTCTGTTCCTTAAAAGGCCCTCGGAAATTTTCCCTTGGGTATCAACTGCCAATCCTCTTCATATCATCATCTTCATCGTATCATCTTCATCATCATATCATCATCTTCATACCATCAACTTCATTCGTATCATCATATCAACCTCATCATATTTTCATCATCACAATATCATTTTCATATCTTCATATTTTCATATCTTCATCAAATCTTCATCTTCATATCCTCATATCCTCATTTTCATATTATCTTCATCATCATCATTTTCATCATATCTTCATCAAACCTTCATCTTCAGCATATCATCATCATCACAATATCATTTTCATATCTTCATCATTTTTCATATCTTCATCAACTCTTCATAATATCATTTTCATATCACCTTCATCATCATATTTCCATATCTTCATCATACCTTCATCTTCATCATAGCTTCATCATCCTCATATCATTTTCATATTATCTTCATCATCATCATTTTCATCATATCTTCATCAAACCTTCATCTTCAGCAAATCATCATCACAATATCATTTTCATATCTTCATCATTTTTCATCATATCTTCATCAAATCTTCATAACATCATTTTCATATCACCTTCATCATCATATTTCCATCATATTTCCATCATACCTTCATCTTCATCATAGCTTCATCTTCCTCATATCATCATTTTCATATTATCTTCATCATATCGTCATCTTCCTCATCTCCTCCTCCTCCTGGCCGGGAGGGGCCAATCTGGAGCTCTAAGTGGGCGCAGATTCTCCCGCCTCCTTCAGCCCAGGAGAGGGAGGGGTCCAAAGGGGTCTCAAGGCCTGGGATCTACAGGGACGGACCCCCATCCCGGCCAGGCAGAGCCTCGTCCTGGGGGGGCGGGGGGGGGCAAGCTGAACCCTATCCAGAGCAGAGGCAAGAGGGCCCTCCTTCTGCCCCAGAGGAGGAGGGCTGTGGCCCTGTCCCCACTCCCCCCCCAGCCCCGGCCCCTCCTCCCTGCTGCCCCAGGGGGTCTGGTGGAAGAGACTCCCATCATCCCCAGGAGGAAGGCCCGGAGGCCCTCCCCTCCCCCCTCCAGGTTCCCAGCAAAAGCAGGAGAGCCGGAGAGGGTGGACCTCAGAGCTGGGCTGCTGGGCCCCTCCCTGGCCATGGCCACATGGGCCTCCTCCTCCCTGAATCCTGTGGCCCAGATGCCCCCGCTGGATGCTGAGGGGGTGGGGGCGGCAGAGGGGGAGCAGGAGGGCCCAGGCGAGGGACCCTCGGGCAGGAGGGGCAGGAAGAAGAAGAAGAAAAACTACCACCGGCATCTCAAGCCCCCTTACACCTATCTGGCCATGATAGCCCTGGTCATCCAGGCAGCCCCAGAACGGAAGCTCACCTTGTCCCAGGTAAGGAGGAAGGCGCAAGAGCCAGGAGGCTTTGCGGGGGGGGGGGCTTTGGGGAACCCCCTTCAATTATGTTATCACTCCAGGAGAGGAGACCCCATGGAGTTTTCTCAGCCAAGCCATGGTTTGTTTTTTGCACACTGCACTTAGCTGTGGCTTGTTAAAGACAGTTTGCAGAGCATGGGCTCCCGGGTGCCCCCTCCTCAAAGGGGGTCCAGGGAGGGCTCCTGGGGCCAAAGAGGAGGGGCAGGGAGGCATTTGAGGCCAGCCCAGGTCAAACTGGGCAGGATAATGTGCCTGCCCTGCCTCCCCACCCCAAATAACCCAGGAAGGCAGGAGACCCCCCCCCCCAATCCTTATTTGGATGGGCAGAGGGAGATTATCTGAAGCTGAGCCACACTTAATCCATTATCTAGATCTAATCCCCAGGTTTTATCTAAGCATTAATTCAGCGGCTCAGCGGGACTACACCAAAAGCCAAGGTTGTTTGGGGGGGGGGAGTGATTTCTAAATCTGCTGGGGGGGGTCCTCTGTCCCAGGAGTTTTATTCCAGCCCCCCCTCCCCCAATACACCTCTTGGCTTGGAAGCAGAGGGACCCTGCTTCAGCCTGGTGGGAAACCCCCTCTCCTTCCCCAGGACTGCTCTGCCCAGCGGCATGGAATACACCCCAAAGCCCCCTCCCCACCATGGGAACAGTTTGCTGGCCTTCTCTTTGCAATGGGGTGGGGGCTGGGGGTGGAGGAGCCACCTTACAGGGACATGCCTGATCCTAAAATTTGCAATTAAAGGCACAAATTGAGCTAGGAACAGCTGCAACCTTTATTCTCTCTCTCTCCCTCCCTCCCTGTGTGTGTGTATGTGTGAATTGCTTCACTGGGCTCCAAAACAGCTGTTTGGAGCCAACCTTCTTTGACCTGAGTCAGTTTTTAAGGTAGGGCATTCAAGATTGTACCTTCCAGTTGGAAGGAAAGAAGACCAAGGGGTGATCAGGGCTCAGGGTGCCTGAGGAAAGATGGCCAGGAGCTACATCCCACTGGCCCAGAGCTTGGGGCCACTGCAAGCCCCCCCCCCCCCGAAGATTTGCCTCCTCTTTTTGCCTTGGGATCTGCTTTGGGATGGTTGTCTATTGTGGCACACACAACACACAAACACACACACACACACTCCTCTGATGCTCTTGACCACAGAAAGAATGAGACTCCGGGGCGTTTTAAAGACGGATTCATTCAGGTCTGGTTTTAATATGCAGGCAGGTAGCCCAGGGCCCGGAGTCTGGAGGGATCTAAGTGTCCGGGATCTAAAGATTTATTATGGGTGGCAAGTCCCGCCTGATCCCGGCTGATCTCTTGGTTAAGCAGTTCTTAGTCCTCGGGTGAGAATCACGAGGCGTCTGGAAACACCTTTGCCAGCTGCCAAATGTTAATAAAAGCCCGAAGGTCTCTTCTCCATCCCCCCCAGGTGAGGGTTTCCCCAAAAGGCCACTGGGGGCTTCCTTACTTGTTTCCTTGAAAAAGTTTCAGCTTTCCTGGATGGGAAGCAAAATGTTTTTTTTTTTGGAGCCTAAGAAAGTCCAGTTGTTTTTAAAAGAACAGAATAAGCACTGAAGGGACCTTGGAGGTCATCTAGTCCAACCCCCCAGTTCAGGCAGGAGACCCTATAACATTCCAGACCAATGGCTGCCAAGTCGCTTCTTAAAGACACACACACACACCCATGAAGCACCCAGAGCTTCTGGTGGCAAGCTGTTCCACTGGTTGATTGTCCCCCCCTTAGGAAGTTTCTCCTTCATTCCAGATTGCTTCTCTCCTTGGTTAGTTTCCACCCATTGCTTCCTTGTCCTGTTTCTCTGGTGCTTTGGAGAAGAGCCATGAGCCCCCCTTCTTCTTCTGGGCAGCCCCTCAAATACTGGAATGCTGCTCTTATGTCTCCCCTGGTCCTTCTTTTCTCTAGACAAACCCCGACCCTGCAATCATTCCTATGTTTTTATCTCCCGGGCCTTTAATCATCTTAGTTGCACTCTTTTGAAAAGCACCTTTAGGTTAATAAAAGACCAAAAAGAAAAAAAAGAACCACTTCCATCATTCACTTAACAGATTAGCAGAGTTGGAAGGGATCTTGGAGGTCATCTAGTCCAACCCACCCATCAGGAGACCCGACACCATTTCAGACAAAAATAGCTTCTTGAAAGCCTCCAGTGATGAATCAAAGGTCTGGGAAATCCTTTGACTTGGGTATTCCCTGGTCCTGGTGCCCTTTCCAAGAAGAAAAGGAGGAATGCAGACAATTGTTGGGGAGGGGGGGAGCTAAGTGTATTTAAAGGGATTTTGCATATGCTGAAAGATCCCCATGGAGGCAACCTTGGCTACCAGGGACAAATGCTTAGTTTGCATATTGGACCATTCCAGAGGCTGCCAAGGTGTCACCTGCCCTCCCGCTGTGAGCCACCCCTCCCCCCTCCCTTCCTGGCCTTGCTGAAAGCAGCCGAAAGGGAAGGGGCTGAGTGGGGAGGGGGCTGCAGGCCAGTCTGAGAGGAGCTGCCAGCTTCTCCCTCCCAACAATTTACACCTGAGCTGCCTCTGATCTTGGGGGGGGGGGAGAATGGGGGGGTAGTTCCTCCCCCAGGTGGGTCAGGCCAGTTGGGGGCTTAGAGCCATCTTTTGTGGGAGGGGGGAAATGGGGAGGGGGCTGGTTTCTCTCTCACAGATTTCCCAGCCTCCTTGGGCTTCTTTGCCAGAAAAAACTTCTAAGATTTTAATATTGTAAACCACGCAGTGTAACTGCAGTGAGAGGGGCAGCCAATAATTGAGTGAGTGAGTGAGTGAGAGAGAGAGAGAGAGAGAGAGAGAGAGAGAGAGAGAGAGAGAGAGAGAGAGATTGACAGAAAGATAGAAAGACAGAAAGACAGATGACAAAGAGA